GAAATTACAAAAGCTGTAGAAATATTTCAGCATAAAATCATGCGATATAAATAATTATAGTGTTACAGCAATTACGGCCGTAATTATCATAAAGCCTTGCAACCCCGATCAGGATAAGCAGTGGGGATCGAGAATGATGGATGTGTGAATGTAAATAAAATTTACATAAATGCATCTTGGACTTCTAAAAATTAGTTTACACACCAAATTTAAGCAATTAATATATAAACCCCGCTTCTCTCCAATACCTCAACAATTACGGATGGATTCCAGAGTACAGCATAACTTTGGCTAGCCTACTTATTACCCGTGCGACATACTCAGAAAACGGCAGCTGAAAGTGAAACACACACACTGAACCTGAAAAAAATCACAAAAAACTGAAAATGAAAGACGCAAATTATGCACGTTTGAAAGTAATTTTTAAATGTAAAACTAGAACTTTACAATGTGATTTCGCCATCTTGTTTAAATCTCGAAATATACATTATAAACCTTAAGAGTAATTACTGCCCCCACGGGTAAACACACGAGACTACAGATTGGGCGCAAGACTGGTGTTAAACAGCGTCAAGCGAACGCCATCGAAACGGCAATCGAATGAAAGTTTACTGAATCGAACGCAGGAAATACACGTATGGTGTTCAGAGGGCGTTCATTTGGAACGTCCGTGTGGACGAGGCCTAAGGGTCTTGAAATTACAGGTGAGGCAAAAGGCTGAGATACAACACTGCTGAAAAAAGGCACCCCTAGTATTAAGTCTGATGGTAAAAAGATACATAACCTGCCAGAATAAAAATAGTCCCCAGATTAAAACACAGTATGGTGTACTGTGCTTTTCCAACATGACACAATCAGGAGAAAATTAAGCATGACTTACCAAGCGTATTAGTGTTTGGCATGAACAACAATTTGTCTGTAAAAAGAAAAATAGAAAAGCTGAACTTCAACCACACTTTAAATATTGACACAGGAGTGACACAATCGGTTAAACACCCCTCTCCAGGATACTCAAACTAGACAGTTTGGGTAGTTATTTAATTTAACATATAAAAACATGTCATGTTACGCTGTTTCAGACTTAATTCTTACTTAAACTGCTATTCAGTATTCACATCTCAAGTTGTCAGCTTTATACTGTAATTAATTTAAGAAAGTTAAATTACTTCCCCACTTCCCAAAACTAGATTCTAAACGAAGTAATTCATAATAATACATAAGTAATTAATTGTACTGCAGGATCTAAGTACACAAATAGTGTGGATTTTGAAATTCCAATAAGTTGTTTTAAGTACTGATTGTAAATCCACTATTACATAATGGAAAATTAGTTAGAAGCTAAGACTATTTAAAAAGTCAGTCTGTGTCATAATTAAAAAAAGAAGCAGTGAATGCAAATTAATACAGTATAGTATTCTACTGTTCTACATTTACAAATTACAATTTCATCATATACACTACAGTATATTGCCAAAAGTATTGGGAAACCTGCCTTTACACACACATGAGTTTTAATGACATCCCGTTCTTAATACATAGTCTTTAATATGGAGTTGGCTGACCCTTTGCAGCTACAGTATAACAGCTTCAACTCTTCTGGGAAGGCTGTCCACAAGGTCTTTATGGGAATTTTTGACCATTCATCCAGGAGAGGATGATTGTGAGGTTAGGCCCTGATGTTGGACAAAAAGGCCTGACTCAGTTTCTGCTCTAATTCATCCCAAAGGTGTTCTATCAGGTTGAGGTCAGGGCTCTGTACATACCAGTCAAGTTCCTCCACACCAGACTCGCTCATCCATGTCCTTATGGCCCTTGCTTTGTGCACTGCTGCGCAGTCATTGGAACAGGAAGGGGCCATCCCCAAACCGTTCCTACAAAGTTGGAAGCATGAAACTTTCCAAAATGACTTTGAATGCTGCAACATTAAGAGTTCCTTTTACTGGAACTAAGGGGCCAAGAAAGAGGGGTTCAGGTTTATGGGGCACTGGAAGACCTTCTGGAACAGGTGGGACCTGTTCAAGCCGGACGGGTTGCATCTGAAGTGTATTGGGGAGGCGTATGTGCAGAATAGTTGAGGAATGTTTAAACTAGGGACTGGGGGGGCAGGGAGGTCAGTTAAGAATTTATGTGGGGAGAGACAAAAAGCCCAAATAAATATTAAAAGTAGACACTGTAAAAGGCCTACCATTAGTGGCCTGTATTTGAATGCTAGGAGTATTAGAAACAAAATTAATTACTTAGAGGCTTTAATTTCTTCAGACAATTACGACATTATAGGAATAACTGAAACATGGATGAGTGACAATGATGGTGATGA